GTACAATTATTATGTCATTGAAAAACAGAGAAAACTTCCTAACATTCATACATTTAGGCCAGAAATGATCTAGAATAGCAAAATTAATCCCAGATACCAAATACGAGGCAGGGTGCATCACAATCTCTGAATTGCAACAATAACAGAGAGTCACTATGATAAAAACATTAGATACTGGGAAAATAAAAGGATCAGTGGAGTAGATTAGAAGATGCAGAAATGACTAACTGACAAGCTCCTGATGTTTTACAAAGGAGATAAACACATTCCCTGGAAGAAAGGTAGACTGTGTAATAAACAGCACTTGAAAATCTGGATTTCCACATACCAAGCAATAAAGTCGACCCATGTGTCTCACCATGCGCTAAATGAAAGTACAAATGGGTCAAAGATCTAAATTTTTAAAAACATCTAATTATGAAAAGAGAAACACAAAACCATTTGGGAGCGCAGATAGGCCTAACAGTTGAGTACTTAGTGTAGGCAAAGTCTGTATGGGCAGAACTAACAACACACAAAAATATCACAAAAAATCAACACCTGGGATCTCATCTTATTAATAAGCTTTTGTTCAACAAAATAAATTGCTAAAGTGAAAACAAAACCTATTAATTGGGAAAGTAATTTTGGATCTTTACTCTCAGACAAAAGACTAATATCTGAAACATATATAAAATTGGAGAAAATCAGAACCTCCAAATTTAAAGACTGAATCCAAAAATGGGCATCTCAGATGAATACACTCTTCTCAGATGACAAAGTAAAAGTGGCAAATGAATATATGCAGAGAGGTTCCATGTATTTGCCTTTTGAGAAATGCAAATTAAAACAACTTAGAGATTCCATTTCATTGAGATTCCATTGAAAAAGGGAAATGATCAAGAACACAACCAGTAAAAGTTGCTAAGAAGAATGTGGGAAAGAAAGAAGCACTTCACTGTTGATAGACTTGTAACCAGACACACCAATTTGGAAAATAATTGCAGTCATTCCTAAAAGCAAATCTAGTACTACAGGACTCATGGCAACTGCTGTCCATCATGGTATTTTCCCAAAATAATTTAACACATTTTACCATAGTGATGCATGTGTACTCATATTATAAGACAACATTTTGTAATACGTAAACCTTGAGAACATCCCAAACACAAATCAACTGATGAGTATATAAAAAGACATGATTATTTTATAAAATGGTCTAATGCTGAGCCATTAAGGATACACTTCAGACATTAAAAGCTAAAATGATGGACCCTTCACAATCTCCTTCAGTGAAGTAAATGACAAGAACCTGCATGAAGGTTACAATGTCTCATTGGTGAGAAGATTTGAAATTTTAAGCAGGAATCAAATTCAAAATAGATATAATGAAATAGAAACCATTGTTCAAAAACAAAAGAAAATTAGAGGAGTGTGAAAAAAAGGAGAAAAATGAAAAAAGGTGGAAAAAACAGAGCAAATCATTGACAATAAGAAGGGAAAGAGCAATTGTAAAGAGTAAAAGGGAATGAAAAATGGGGGAATCAAGATATACCATGTACAGGAACAATCTACCTGTGATGAATGTGATTACTAAGTATAATTCAATTGTAAAAATAAATAATATTGTAACTTTCATAAAAACCAGTGTATGTTGTATGCAGGCTAAAGTGCACCAAAATGTAATCCAACATTCTGTGTAATTTGCATGAACTTATAAATCCATTCAGAGATTCTATGTATGTGGAAAGATGTATTAATGATCTATTTTCTTTTCCTTTGGTACTAGAAATTGAACTCATGACTGCATGCTTGCAAGGCAGGAATTTATGCTGCTGAGCTAAATCTCTAGTCCTCTGTATTAATTACCCTAATATTGCCATTCAGCTATTTATACAGAAAAGATTAAAAACTCCAGTTGATTTTGGTTTGAAGAAAAAAATCATTCCCCGTTAGAATTGATGAGCACACATACACACACACTCTCTCTCTCTCACACACACACACAAACACACACACTCACATCTAGATTTGCTACAGCCAGATTCTTTCTTAACAAAATTCCACTGTTTGAATTAATCATTGTAAATAAAATGATTGAAGGATTGATATCAACAGCTTACCCACTAAATTTCCATTGGATATTTGGATATAAAGTCTATGATCTCCTCTCATCATGAGTCAGGTCAAGACCCAGGCTTTATTTTTCACTAAGAAAGGCTGACCTGAAAAAGACCTTCCTTGGTCCCAAAGTTGGTATTGCCATGCTCCATCATCCCCTGGGTCTTACAGTATTGTGTTCTTCTTTTGTGCTTATTTTTGCCTATGATTAAGATGCTGGTACAGCACACATTCTGTGTATCTCCAAATTTCTGTATTATTTTCACTGAATCATTTTATATCTCAGGCACTATTCATGTTTGTGAAACAAGGTTAAAAAGCACTCCATGGCAGAGACTGAGTCAGAGAAGGAAACAGCCTCCACATTCTCTGAAAACCTAGTCACATATGATGTGTATGTCCATGTGGAAATTATCTAGAAAATTGAAATTTAATTCCTACCTTATAAATGCTTGGTTGTGTATTCAGTTCATGGACTTGACATTTTGTTTCCAAAATATTCAGTAAATGCAGAGCAATCAGGATAGATCTTGAGACAAAATAGGGAGTAGGCATGGAGAAAAAAATTACTTTTTTATGTAGAAACTACAGATGAACCTGTAGACTCCACATATACTAATGAAGTCACCATAAAAGAATGTCAAGACAGAGCTGCAGTTGAATTTGCTGAATGGGTGCCAATTTGCATGATGCTGTGTTTGAAACAGGAAAAGGACGGGCACTGAGGTCCCCAATGCCAGTCAAGCTTCATGGTACAGACCTGAAGGGACCAGGTTGAAGCCAGTATAGAGGTCAGATCACAAACCACAGATTTCATGGGGAGATTCCAACTTCATCAGATAACACCTAGTCAATCCTTATCCAGCTCAGAACACCTGGCCCCACACTTACATTTCTAGCCTCCAGGTTGTTTGCTTCTGTATTTAATTTCTCTTCTCTGAGGAAGTCATCCAGCAGCCAGGCTCAAATTCTAAGGCTTTTCTTCAGCATATGACTCTGGGTCCAACCTGGTGGCAAAAATATAAAGGAAGGCTCCACATAATGAATTGTCCTGATATCCCTGTGTCTCTTTCCAGTTGACAATGCACACAGCCTTCCTGAATCACTGAATAGCTGGAGAACAAAGACAAAATATTTGAGACTGAAGGGACAGGGAAAGTGATCCAAAATGTGTATTGATTAGCAAAGTGATGGGTGCCATTCCTGGATTACAGCAGGACTAATGAAATGCTCCACAAGGACATTACTGCAATTAAAATAAGGTTGCTCTTGTCTTTACATAGCAGGGACTGAATAACTGTATGTTTTACAATTTTACACCTACATGCAGGAAGTAGGATGGAAACTGTATTCTGGTGATTTGAGGCTATGTATTCTGGAAATTACTCCTAAACTCTGAGGGGGGATGGTGACAACAGGCCAGGTCTACTCAGAGTGTGAGATGAAGCCAGTGGTTTACCACCTTATCAGGAAACAAGGCCTTATTTTAATCTTTAAGGGCTGATACTGGAATCCAGGATATTTATACTGATCTATCTCCCCAACACTATTTTTTATTTGCAGACAGGTTTTCACCATGTTTTCAAGTTGCTTAGCCTGGATTTAAATGGCAAAGTTGAATTTCTCTTGCCTCAAATTCCCAGATTGCTTAAATCATGTAAAATCTCTACCTTGCCTATGTCTGAACCATTTCACTTAAAACATGATAAAACACTAAAATAAAGAAATAAAAAGTAGGAACTACATTGTAGTAATTTGTCATGATTGAGTGTACAGAAATGCCAAGTGCCTCAAAGTATATTTTGAATAGAGTATATTCTGAATATTACTAACATGGAAAATTATACAAATAACTATATATACATATATTGCTACAACCTAGGCATGGTGGTGCATGCCTGTAACCCCAGTACTTGGAAGGCTAAGGTGGAAGGATTGTGGCAAGTTCAAGATCAGCATGAACTACAAAGTGAGCCTAAGATCAGCCTAGACTACAAAGTGAGCCCAAGATCACTCTAGATTCAAATGTGAGCCCAAGCCCAACCTGAACTTCATAGCAAGACTGTTTCACAAAAAAAATATAATACTACAATTCTCATACATTTAATTTGCATACCTGTGATTATCACCTTACTTATTGCACACTGGTGACTGTTTTTTGGTATCATGATATGACACCCATTCCTATCCTGAGAATATTTCAAGCATTTTCCTTTGAACCTTAGGAACTTGTGTGAAATCCCAATTCACTTGCATATTCAGGATTCTGCTACTAAGTGACTGATGTAATACAAGAGGGATGGAGTTTAAATTGGTATAAAAGTACATGATGTATGGGGTTGGGGATTTAGCTCAGAAGCATAAGCACCTGCCTTGCAAGCAGGTGGTTGAGTTCGATCACTGGCAATGATTAAAAAAAAAAGGACATGATGTGTAATAGGAAGAAGGGGCATATATCTTTCAAAAATGGAGAGGAGCAGGAAATAGAGGAAAGAACTCATTTCATGTACAAGGGTACAATGTTGACTGAAAGATTTCCCACATTGTTTACCTACATAAGGTTTCTCTCTACTGAGAGTTCTATCATGTATATTAGAACCTGTTTTTGTACTGAACATTTTGTATATTTGTTGCATACATAAGATTTTTCCCTAATTTAAGTTCTTTCTTATTTCTAACAGTGACTGAGTCTGCTTTAGATCCTGTAATGTTGTATCTTACCATAAGCATAGCAATACAAGCACAATTTTGTATATGAATGTATCCATCATTCAGGGTAAACCGACACAAGAGTTACAGATTCTGGTGGGAAAAATGGTCATGAAAAAATTGGGTGTCATCCAATAAGACAAAACAGTGGTGGATAAAGAACATGGGAAAAAAGATTCAGCATACTTAAATTTCTTTAAACACTGTACTTTTTTATTAAGACTACAAAAATAGATGAGATATTTCTGTGTGATTTATAAAAAAAGAAACAAAACATTTTTTGATAACTCTGTGCTTAAGGGTGTTTTCAAAAAAACTTTTGAACATATATTTACAGCACTAATTAAGCATTATTTTTACGTCTCCCCTCCATAAGAAATTTATGAATTATTTTCAAAATAGTCATGTATGTACCTATGATTTCTTTTTATTATGATTACTTACACAGGATTAAAAATAACCATGTATACCAAATGCTTTCCCACATTGCACTCATAGGTTCAGGCCACAATATGACATTATTCAGAATGTTTGCACCTCTGACATCACAACTTTTTCCAAATACTTCTTACGTGCAGTTACTCCCTAATGTGAAGGAATCTTTTATTTGGAGAAGGGAAAACCTGCAGCATATCTTTTCCACACTGACTACATACACAGGATTTCTTTCTTGTGTACATTATTCCTCTATTTGATGGCACTTTTGTGCACTAAATGCTGTCAACCATTGTTGAAATACTTAGAATTAGTACACAGAGGGAGTTCTGTCATGGAGCAACAATCTCTCTAGTAGTGGAAAGTTTTCCTACACTCGTTATATTCATAAGTATTTTTCCCTAGTGTGGGATATTTTATGTTTATGCAGTGCAGATTTTTCAACAAATCCCGGTACTCATATAGGTAGGGTTTATCTATGGAGTGAATTCTTTTATATACACAAAAACTACTACTATAGCTGAAAGATATCCCAAATTGCTTACATAGACAGCTAGGGTTTATTTTAGCACCTCTGCATACTGAATGCTTTGCCATACTGGTTGTATCCATAGAGGTTCTACCAACTGTGAGTTCTTTCATGACAAGGGTACAATTTTGACAGAGATTTCAAACACTGTTTACATACAAAGGGTTTCTCACCAGTGGGAATTAGTTCATGTATAATAAGGATACCACTTTGACTGAAAGATTTTCTACACTGATTACATCTGCAGAGAATTCTATCATGTAATTTACAACCAGACACTGTACTGAATTCTTTTCCACATTTGTTAGATAAAGTGATTCTCCCCCAGGTGAATTCTTTCAGGAGTTTTGCAGAGGCTCTTCTAAATGCTGTCCAACACTATGCACATCCATAGGGTTTCTCCCCAGTATGTATTCTTTCATGTCTAATAAGGTTATTTTTTTTATTGAAAGACTTCCCACATTTCTTACATACAAATGGTTTCATCCCAGTGTGAATTTTTTCATGTGTTTTACATTCTGACACACTCATGAATGCTTTCCCACATTTGTTGCATACATAGGGTTTCTCCCCTGTGTGAATTCTTTCATGTGTAATAAGCCTGTACTTACGGTTGAAAGATTTCCCACATTGCTTACATACAAATGGTTTCATCCCAGTGTGAATTTTTTCATGTGTTGTACATTGTGACACACTCATGAATGCCTTCCCACATTTGTTGCATACATAGGGTTTTTCCCCTGTGTGAATTCTTTCATGTGTAATAAGCCGGTACTTACGGTTGAAAGATTTCCCACATTGCTTACATACAAAAGGTTTCTCCCCAGTATGAGATCTATCATGTTCTTTATAAGCAGAGGCTGTACTGAATGCTTTCCCACACTTGGGGCATCCATAGGGTTTCTCCCCAGTATGAATTCTTTCATGTGTAATAAGGCTATTTTTTTGATTGAAAGATTTCCCACATTGCTTACATTCAAATGGTTTCTCCCCAGTATGAGTTCTATCATGTATTTTACATTTTGATGCAGTCAGGAATGCTTTCCCACATTTATTGCATACATAGGGTTTCTCCCCTCTGTGAATTCTTTCATGGTTAATAAGACTGTCCTTTCGGACAAAAGATTTCCCACATTGCTTACATACAAATGGTTTCTCCCCAGTGTGAACTCTTTCATGTATAATAAGCTTAGCATTTTGACTGAAAGATTTCTCACATTGCTTACATGCAAAGAGTTTCTCCCCAGTGTGAGTTCTATCATGTATTTTACAATCATATGCTGTGATGAATGATTTCCCACATTTGTTGCATACATAGGGTTTCTCCTTAATATGAATTCTTTTATGTCTAGTAAGATTGCACTTTATACTGAAAGATTTCCCACATTGCTTACATACAAAGGGTTTCTCCCCAGTGTGAGTTCTATCATGTGCTTTACAAGCAGAGGCTTTACTGTATGCTTTCCCACATTTATGGCATATAGAGGGTTTCTCCCCAGTGTGAATATTTTTATTTCTTTCACAGCTACTGAGTTTACTAAATGCTGTCCCACATTGCTTGCATTCATATGGTTGCTTTCCAGTGCTAAGTTTCTTATGTTTTTTAAAGAAACTACTGTGAGGTAATGCTTTTGCACATTTCTCAGTTATAGGATGTTTCTCTCTACCATATTTTCTAACATGTTTTTCAATATTGAATGAAGACATAGAATTATTCTCATAGTATTTTTGTATGTATGAGTTTCCCAAACTGTGGTTTGTCTTGTGGATTTGAACACTGTTAGGTGTTGTGTGGGCTTTCACACTTTTGTTACCTACAAAGATTTTCTGGCCAGCGTGAGTTTGTTCACTAAGATCAGATCTGACCTCCTCATATTGCCCATATTGACAGGGTCTCTGAGCAGTCTTCCTCATTTCATGCTTCTGAAAGGACTGGAAATCACTGCAGGTCTCTACATTTTCATTACATTTATATTGCTGCTCTTCAATTCTCAAATAATTGTCTTCATCATATCTATAAAGAAATACAAAGAAAGATATATCAGTCACAATGGGAAAAGCTCCTGAATAACAACTGATATTTATTATGACTAGCTTGGCTTGATGCCTGCTAAGTAATTCTGATGGTTAACTGACTCATTGTCCTGCAGGACTTCTTTCAAAGTACTAGTCATTCTAAAGAAGATGGTTTTCATTTGAAAATTTTAAATTGGTACATGATTCTGATACATAATATGATTTTAGGATTGGTACAAATGACTACCAAATATTGATCATTGTTTTTTAGCCCCTCATGTCTTCATTTTCCCCATCATCTATTTAGCCTGATCATCTTTCTCATCTACAGAAAGTAAGGGTTTCTGGTCTCATATTATCTCTCTTTACTTTTACTCCTCTTATATGCTATTAACTTCCCATTTACAAGGAAACCTGTGATATTTCCATTACTGTGTATGATTTATTTCACTTAAGATCCAATTATTTTTGTTCACTGGGAAACAAAAACAGCCTTATGGTTCCTTGTATAGCATGTTTTTCAGTGTAGAGTTAAACACAGGTATTAGACTGAAGTAAATTTGCTGATGCATTATTTGTTTTTATGAGAGATTCTCATTGAACATGAACTTGCTCAGCCTGAGCATCAGGTGGGCATCCTGCTGTTTCAGCCTCCCAGAGTGCGGGGATTGCAAGGATACACCATCATGATGAGCTGACTCCACATTTTCTTTACCTTGGTAACCAGTGATGGGCATCAGGGCTCCTCCCATAGTTTAGCTACTATAAATTTATTCTTTAATTAGAGATTCTAAATGTTCTTTCATGGGTTGCATTAAACAACACACTGTGTGGATCATTAACATTTGATGATTTTGATATTTTTGACAGTATACTGAGAACCAATGCACATAATGATATAGAACAACTCACTTAACAGTCAGGAGGATGCCTCTTTGTTTTTGGCCAGTATGGGATACACAGCAAGTTCAAAGTCAGCCTGAGCTACAGTAAAAAATCATGGCTCAAAAGTAAAAAACAAAAGTATATACTGTGTATGTTAAAAAATATGAAACTTTATTTTAACTTTGAGACATCTGAATATTTATTACTATGTTTCAATTTTATGTATACATCAACAATGTATGAGGAAATTTAAACATGAAAAGCTCAACATTCTATAGGATATTTTCAAAGTACTTATTATAAACAGTAACATTCATTTGCATTTTGAAAGTTGAAATTATGTAAAAAATTTTTTACATTATGAAAACCTCAGTATTCACATATATAAATAAATGGACATTTTGAAGATGAGTTTCTATCAAAATTCAGTTATTTTTATTTCCTACATATTAGAATACTATATTTAAATTTATTCTCATGCATCTCCATGATGTTTACCATGAAGGCAGTTTTTAAACTGATGTATTAGATAGTGTTTTTTTGTGACATAGTATCAGCACTACCTCTGATTCCTACATTCAAATACTTGTCTATGGATTCCCAAATAAAACAAAATCAAAACAAGTGTATCTCTTGATATTTTTCTAAGTTTAAATAAAGAGTTCCATGATCTCATTTCTTCAAGTTCCTTTGTTGCAATATTCATGCTTAAATACTGACACTAAAGAAATGCTCCCTTTCTCTTATGTGTGTCAGTTACCTTAGATTTCTTGAGAAATTTTTTTCCTCTTCTTTAACTTGCTGGTTATACCATATTCTTCCTGTATTACAGATATACACATAAAAAATTCACTATAACATTACATTAAAATATCACTGGTTCCAGTTATACTCATGGTATCATATAATCAGGCCTGAGATATATAAGCCAATATTATAATTATCAAATAAATTAAACTAATATCACTGAGTAATCATTAGTGCTTTTTGTATAAATAATAAAACATATCATCCTTACCCATTTCAGTAATATTCATATATGTTTCCCACATAACACCTCTGTAGAGCTTCTTTTGGCATGGAGACAACAAATCCCACTCTTCTAGGGTGAACTTCACAGCTACATCCTCAAAGGTCACTATCTCCTACATAATGACAAGAGTACTCAAGGTTAGAAACATAACTAATATATCTCAGCTTCACTTATAAAATGTCTAACTGAAGGTCATTCTTTCAAGAATTGACTGCATGTCATGGTCATCAAAACACAAGCACATTCAAATATAGTCACTCAGTAATACTGACGCTACACTATAACACACTGCCAAAGCACCACAGAAATTTAGCATGGCTTGACTTGCAGAGCTGCCTATATTTTACTTTTTACTGACTGCAAAGAAGAGCTCAAAGAGGGAGCCTGCAAATGAACATTGACAAAACACCAACATTGACAAAACAACAATAGTGTTATTCATAACACTGAGTTCATCCTTCTTTCTAGACAGCATTTACACTCTTGAAACTGGTTTCCTAGATAAATATTTAGTTGCATATGAAAGGAGGTTTATGAAGTACTGAAATTTAATGGAAATAAAGATTTATTTGATCATTTTTTAGACAAGGAATTTAGGGAAAGTTAGTTATAAACCTATAGCCCAGGAACACCAAGGTTGTCCTTGTACCTGAATACTAAAAATTCTACTTGCGTGTAAAGGAAGACAATGTGGGAAAGAATATTTTGGAAATGCAATGAAAATGAAGGTATAGCAAACTAACTGGTCACAAATACAGAAGGAAGAGTTCAGCCCACTGGGGTAACACAGGCCTGTTCTCCCTGAACTTGAGAGGCTGGTGTAAGAGGATTACCAGGAATTTCAGCAATGCCATGTGTAGTGTCCAATCTTCGCTATGTAATAAGGACAGTTCAGACTACAAAATGAGGCCATTCATCAAACTCCATCACCAAATGAAATCTAAAATTAATTCAGTCATTTACCAATCACAGCTTTGTACCAGGGATATATCTTGGTGGTACAAGCATCTGGCTGATATGTGCAAGGACCTGAGTTCAATTTCCAATACCAAAAGAACCAAACTAAACACACCTTTGATTTTTTCAACAATTATAGATAAAAGTTAGAAAAAAGCCTACAAATGTTTAATGCTTGTGAGCAAGGAAATATTTTGCACAATAAACATGAAAAACATTCAAAGTTCAACATTCATATTGCTGGACAAATTGATCTAAGGAAAGGGTGACAACCTTCCGCATCCAAATAGAAGCAGAATATTGTTGCACAATTCACCTCATGTTGTGACTCTCTGGAAGGAAGCACAATACATTTCATTTACATTCAGAGAGAAACAGGTATGTCCTTAGAATTCTGGACTGTACAGTCTCCTTGCCTAAGTGCACTGAAATGGGAAAAAGAAACATGAATGACTATGCAATTTATACTACAAAACATACAGTTGACTTCCAGGAGAACATGGTGGACAGATAGCAGCAGCTAAGGAGGCTCTCTGAAAGACCCAGCTTAGAATCCAGGAATGGTGCAGAGTGAGGAATCCTAAGCAAGAGAGGAGATATGCCCAGCTGAACTGGGCTGAGAGAAACCAATTGGGAATGCAATCCTGATGCTATAACAGGAACAGATAAAGCCTCAGTGTGGAAGCTGGAGCCCGTGCCATTGGAAACTGCGATTTGGTTTTCCTGCTGCCACAGTTGCGTCTGAATCGGCTCGGCAGGGAGAGAGACGTGCGAAAGCTCTGAGAACGGGAATTGGTGAACAGAGTTGAGAGCAGGACGGGTGGGGAGCCGTGCATTGACCTGCAGTGAGTGAGAGAAGCTGGGACTCTTCCACAATCTAGGAGGCTCTAACAGAGGACATTCTGGGAATAGGCAGACTTGCCAGAACAGGGCGCTGTAGTGATTTCAGTTATATATACCCTATCAAGTGGGACTGGTGAGCAGTGCCTAGCCTACATGACGCTGCTGGCTGAGACCCAGTAGCCTAGCACCGCCCAGGTCCCAGCACCTGAAGGTGACCTAGGGGGGGTGGCCTGCACAGGCTGCCTGGTCCATAACTCCCTGGTGCGCTGCAGTGGGCGGGAACACCTAGCCAGCGCAATTCAATCAGACTGTGGCCAACAGGGAAGGAAGCTGGGCCTCCTATATATGCTTGCATATATAAAGGAACAAAGAATATGGGAAGAGGGAGCAATAAGAAAGGCCCCTCGGCCCCCAATCCTGAGAAACAGGCAATAGCAGACACCGCACCAATAGACATAAAGCGCTATGTCCAGAGCCTCATAGACGAGTCCAGGAATGAAGTTATTAATGACCTGAAGCTAGAAATAAGCAGAATAGTTAGAGAAATGCTAAGCACCACCCAAGAAAAAACAGATGGTGGAATGGAAGAACAGAAAAAGAGGGGAGAATTGTTTGATGGAGAAAATAGAGAAAGCACAGAATATGTGAAACAGGTTCAAAGAGATTACCAGGAAACTAAAAACTCTATCGAAAACTGGCATAACAGCTTGAAAGAAACTAAGGATAGATTATCTGAACTGGAGGCCAGATTTGTATAGGAGCATGAAATGAAAAACTTGTTAAAAATAACAAAGAAACAAACAGCAATAATACAAAGACTAGAAGATGGTAAGAGGATCTATAACTTAAGAATTAAGAACATAAAAGAAGAAGTAGAGACACAAACAAATGAAGTACAAAAGCTACTCACAGAAATAATTCAAGAGAATTTTCCTAATTCAGCAAAAGGTAAAGATACTCAGATGCATGAAGCATTCAGGACCCCAGCCACCTACAACCCAAACACAGCTACACCCAGACATATAATAATCAAAATACCAGAAATCCAATATAAAAACAGAATATTAAATGCCATCAGACACAAGAAACAGATCACTTACAAGGGAAAACCCATCAGAATTACAGCAGACTTCTCAGCACAAACCATCAAATCATGAAGAGCGTGGGAGGAAATAACTCAAGGTTTGAAAGATAATAACCTCCAGTCAAGATTGATATATCCTGCAAAACTATCCCTGGAAATCAGTGGAAAAACAAGGTGCTTCCAGGATAAAGAGGAACTAGGGGAATATGCAACTACCAATTCAACTCTATAGAGAATACTGCAGGATATTCTAAAAAAGAAAAATATGAAGAATCCAGAAATAGTGGCAGAGAGGCCACAATGAATGGAGCAGAAAACAAAATGAAGAAGACAAACTGACAACTAATGACAGAAAAAGAGCTCAACAGAAATGAGGCAGAGAAGACTGGATGATAGGAACGGCTATTTTGGAGAAAACGTCGTCATAATAGGTAATACTGATTTAGTATCATCTTGTTTTGAAGTCTCATCAAGCTTTTGCTCTTCTGTCTCCATTGATCTTAGCATGTTGTATCTTATTGGATTTTATTATATGTGATAGTATAAACAAAAACTTTTATAGACAAGGAGATTATACAGAAACCATTGTTCATTTTCTGTTAGTTGATTCTAAATACCCTGTAATACTGTCATTCTCTTGAATGGTTTTACATTGTTTTGATATATTTGATGCTACAGTATACAAAGTTGTACTCAAAGATTTCAAGGAAAGATACAATATGGTAACTACTTTTATGTCAGGATTATCTTGTGGTAAAACACTATTTTGCTTAAATGGTTATGTTTTTTTCTGCACTGTTTTGTTGTTATGCCCTCTTTTATCTCAATCTCCATTTTATTACTTTATTTTTATCCTTTTAATGAAGGGAAAAATAAATAAAAAAATAGGAGAATATATTATAGTAACCAACTTTGATTTACTATTAACTTGATTTGAAGCCCTGTATTGCTCTCACCATCTTGTTTTGACTGATGTTCCTCTATTCTGTTTTGCTTGATAGTACCAGGTTTGAAAGTATAGGCAACAGCTGTGAAGATAGTGGGATTCATTATGACGCCCATTCTGGTTGACTATTATCTACTTTTGAAGACCTGTAATGTCTCCAATGTTTTGGTTTTGTTATTATAACTGATGATATAGGCAATTCTATTAGAGATAGCGGGAGGCATTATGGTAACCATTGTTGATCACCTTGTATTATTGTTTTTACATTATCCATTATGTCCACCCTTTTGATTTGACCGACTCTGTTCTGTTATGTCACATTTGGTTTTACTCTCTTCCAAAAAAAGTAATAAGAACTGTGAGAGCAATAAAACCCAAAATGTGTAATAGTCATTGTACAAAAGAGAGGAAAATAAAGTGCTCTAAATGATATAAGTGCATGTATATTTAAGTGTATAAGATAGACAATGATATTACTGAGTTTTGTTGGATCATTGAACAGAACTGTTTTATCTCACTGTTTGAATGTCCACTATATAAGCTTTAATTTTGTAATTTGAACAAATATTTCTAAAATGACAATATCTAATCCATTAACTAGTGATTTCCTACTGTTTATTTTTTTTCTGAAATTCTGTATAACTTGTACCCTTTTTCTGCTTTTTTTTCTTTTTCTCCTTAAATAAAATTTAAAAAAAAATAAAAACACACAGTTAATGAAAAAGTTTCCTTAGACGAAATGCAAGCAGCCAAGAAAATTAGAAGAAACTGAAACTATGAAACTGAAATCTATGAAGAGGGGAATTAAACAAGAAAACATTTATTGGAAACAAATAAAGATTTTACATTCAGAGTAAAGATCAATGAGCACAAATCTAAAAATAATCAAACACTTATTGACTCAGGAGAAATACTGAATAGAAAATAAAATCTAAATCTAAATCTGGTAATTTGTGAAAATTACCAAATATTGAAGTTTGTAAGAACAAAACAATTAGATTTACTAAATCACCACTCAGCTCCTAAATTCCACAAACACATTTACTATGGGTTTATAAAAATCCACAGGAAAGGTACTTCTTTACAATGTCTAGAAAATATTTTGTGCTATCATTCCTGGAAATACATGTGATTCTTTTCAAGTGAAATTAAAGAGTCAGAAACTGTGACCAAAAGACTAAATGACAAAGAACTTTGGCCTTGTTCACCAGCCCTGGAGAACAAAAGTAAAAAATGATTAAATTGAGAAATACAACAAAACCTCACAAAGTATTTCTCTGTG